ACCCCACGCGAGATTTTTCACACAGAGCCTGATGCGAATGGCCTCGTCGATGCATTCAAATTTCCCAAAGGGAAAAAGGGCGCAAATAACCTTGACAAAATGGTTGTTCACTTTATTAACAACATCAACCAATACGTCGGAAGAAACGAAGGAAATGGTAACAATCTTATAAAAAACCACATGTACTTTCACCTCTCCCAATACATCCGTCTTTTTGGKCCACCCTCTGGATGGGATTCTTCTTGGAGTGAAAGCAACCACAAGACAGAAGTGAAAGCGCCAGCTAAAAGAAYGTCTCGAGTTTCCAGTTCACTGATCAAACAAACTGCAAAACGCCACATAGAGTACCGTGTGGTAGATAGACTTCATCGCGAGTTTGACATGTACCACAATACTCAATCTCAACCTATTCCGAAAGGTAAAGGAGGCTCTCTATTTTCCATCGGCCTATGCGATGGAACTGAGGTACCGTATATGAAATGGCAAGCAAAAGAGAACCAAGTCAGAAACCTTCCATGCCTGCCTTCTGATGTCATTAATTTCTGTTGCAATCATGTTCTCCCAGCTGTTGAAAGYGACGTGTTATCTGGATTTACGGAGCACAAGAGAACAGACGGAGGAAGTTCTCAAAAGCTTCTTTTTCGCGCACACCCATCTTATAAATCSGACAGTGGACAACAGTGCAACGTTTGGTTTGATTGGGCTTATTTTTTGTTGCATCTCCCCAATAAAAGGGGTGRGTATCCCATTGACGATAACGGACGTCCGGTTCTGAAGTGTTTTCCTTGCCAGATACTCTGTTTTCTTGACATAGAGCGACCAATAGGTAACATGTCCGTCAGCGGATTCGACCTTCACGATCCCGGTTATTACGCAGTTGTCCGCTGTTTTCAGGACRAAGAACCCATCAGTAGCTGCAGGTCTGGAGCTATTGGGTCACACATGGGTTTTGTAAGGAAGGGSTGTTTACGAGATCGGTTATATCTATTTCCATGCTCTAGCATCTATTCTGAGGTTRCCGTTGTGCGTAACAAGGGATCAACCGATGAATTTTTYGTGGTTGGAAACAGGGGCGAATGGCTTACCAATTTCAACACAATATTGTCCGGGATGAAGGATACAGACACCGAAAAGATTGTTTCCGATAAAAAGTGACCCTCCCTTTTTGTTGTCACGAAGATCATAATTTTCTCTTTGTTATTATCTTCCAAACCACAACATTACTCAAGTAGTAGTACTACTTACTTGTAGTACTACTGCTGCTCCTAGCAATCAAGAAGTACAAGAACAAGAATGGTGGTGACGATCACCACCAGCATGTACTGTGAAAACAGCAGGCATGCCCAACAAAATGGCCCTACTACTACTACTACTACTACTACTACTACTACTACTAGTAGTAGTAGTAGTAGTAGTAGTAGTACAACAACAACAAGAAGTACTACTACTACTAGTAGTAGTAGTGCTAGTAGTACTAGTAGTACTCAAAGGGATATTTCAATGTTTCTGGTGGTTGTTAGTAGCTACAGGGGTAGCACATGAAAAAATGTTTTAGATTAGATCAGTATGCTGACTTCAAAAGAACTATTCAAAGAACACAAATATTGAGCTTATCTTGGCCACTGATGAGTGATATTGAGACATGTATTGTGGACCGGAGGGAAAACGTAAGATCCAAAATCCAAACTTTGGTTTTTGGTCAGCGCGAACCAAAGGAGTCTGTTCCACGCGTCATACTTACTCTAAATCTCTACCCGTACCCACCACGCGTTGAAATTTCTTCACAGAGAACCGTCCGAGTCCTTCTACCAATTTTCAATTTTTGATGCACCAAGTACGAGTACTTGGTATCGTACCGTCGTACGAGTACAAGAACCGCACGACAAAACCTAGCAGTATGATCGATGATTGGTACAGTTCACAAATTAGAAAATACTGTCTATTTCTTGAATTGATACTAATACGCCATGAACTTGTTCGTCACTCTTCTCGTCGCTCTCTCTGTATTGGCAACTGTGCCATCAACTTCGGCCAACGCGTCCTTCTCTCGTGGAGTTGGAGCTCCTCTTTTCGGGATTTCTCGAGGCGGAGGTCTATTCGGAGGAAAGGATGATTCCAAGAATAACGAAGCTAGCGTTGCTGCCTCTGGGGAAAAGGTCATGTACCCCGCCATGACTCAGCAAGAAGTCGAGGATTGGTTGGAACACATTCCTGTCTTTGCAGTCACGGACTCAAACGGTGCAGGAGTTGTTCTCAAACCCGACGAGGATTCGAGTGTTTTCTACTTTTTTCTCAATCCTTTGGCTGCAAATGCCACGTTGACCCAGTTGAAAAGTGTGAACGAAGACATGGACTTGAAGGTGTCTGCTTTTTCTCTTGGAAAGATCTGGTTCAAGCTCTTGCAGAGTGATGCTGATCGTGAAGTTTTGGTGAGTTTTTCCTGTCGAATCATTTTTCCGAAGCAATTACCAAGTATTTCTCTGTCATGCGTCCTCTCATACTCTCTCTTCAACACAAAAATAAAATACTCACAACGGTGCAACGCAATTTTTCTCAAATATGTTAGCTGAAGAAGCCTGGTGACGATGATGACATGACCCAAGCCACCAAGGGTGTAGAATACCGCCTCGTGCCAGACACAAAGGATCTCCTAGGTGCCCGTATGTTGTTGACGATGAACCCTGAGGACGGCGAAGCGTTGAAGAATGGCCAAGAAATGACACCAGAAATGGCCCAAAAAGCTGTTGAGAAGGCTATGAACGAATCTCCTAAGTTCAAGGAAACCTTCAATGAGATCCCTGTCTTCACCATTGCTCAAATGAGAATGCAAAAGCAACCTGCCGAAGGCGAATCTTCTGCTGAACCTGTTACCCTTCTTCCGATGTACTTTTCTTTGCAAAACATGGTTGGAACATGGCAGCAATTTATGGCACAGTCGGCACCAGAATTGCAAGGAACCGAACCTGCTATCAATTTGATGGCTCTCCACGATTTGGTCGAGATGATGCAGAAAGAATCCGAAATTGATTTCCGATCTGTTGTGCTGGTCCCTTCCATTCCCGAAGGCCCAGGCGGTGCGGCACCACAGGGCCCACCTGTCGCAAGTGCGGCAGATCCTATGGCTAGCATGGGTGGTGCTACTCTAGGTGACATTTAAAAACAGTAATAGAAATACTAAGGGAAAATCAACTCCATAATATCCATAGAAAATATAGCTGATACAACGAGTCGTGTATAGAGATTTACATCAGTGTCAACTGTAGACAAATCCTTAATGGTAAACCAGATGCCATCTTTTGCAGGTGAAGAGCAATGAAATACAGGCAACATATCTCTCTATCTTTTCAACGGTGTAAAACACCGCTAGTTGTCGAAGGAAGAAAAATCCTGATCGATTAATTTATCGATTTCAAGTAAAGCGACCGAATCGGGCTGTTCTGAATAGAAAATAAAAAACAGAATCCATAGTCTGAGATACTACCCGTCTTCAGAAAAGGAAAGAACCTTACAACTGATTCTGTTTTGATAAGTTTCGGCAAGTAGTTCAACCATTAGGATGGGATGTCCTGACATCGGTAATAAGACCCATATTCAGAGAGTATAAAGATATTCAGGAGAGCTTCATATTAATGGACAATATCGTTGTTAATGGAAAGAAAACTGTTATTGATCCGTTTCTCATCAATGGCGAGTTACCTACGGATTTATTCCTCTACAACTTCGCACTAACTGCGGATTTAAGCGCATCGCAAGTATCTTTGGCATCTCCCAACAGAACATCAATATTTTCCTTGAACAAGATAGGGTTCATCATACCGGCGTATCCTGTATTTCCAATAGACCGCTTGAGGACAAAAACTTGACCACTTTTCCAAACTCGAAGAACTGGCATTCCGTAGATACTGCAGTTAGGGTCATCCTCTGCAGCACTTGACACCGTGTCCGACGCTCCGATAACGAGCGTCACGTCCGTGTCATCAAAGTCGTCGTTGATTTCTTCCATTTCGAAAACAATATCATATGGAACACCCGCTTCGGCGAGCAACACGTTGAGTTGTCCTGGCATCCTTCCTGCCACTGGATGAATAGCGAATCGTACGTTCTTGCCCGCCGCCTTGAGATTCTTTGCAATATCGGCAATTGCAAACTGGGCTTGTGCAACTGCCAAACCATATCCAGGAGTGATGACAATATTGTTTGCTTCCGTAAGAGCTTCTGTGACAGCTTCCACAGTGACGGTGGTAACTTCTCCGTCATATTCTACAGCTTCACCAGCTGATGCAACTGTGTCACTTCCAGCTCCACCAAGAATAACACTGACAACATCTCTACCCATTGCCTCGCACATGATCCAGGTCAGAATTGCTCCAGAAAATCCAATTAGGGCTCCTACTTGTGCAAGGAGTGGATTATTAAGAAGGAATCCTTCTGCACACAGAGCCCATCCGGAGTAAGAATTCAAAACAGTAATAACTACTGGCATATCGGCTCCTCCAATACTTGCTGTAAGGTGCCAGCCAAGGACTGAACTGACAACAGCTGCCATACCGAGGCTTGCAAGGCCAACAGTATCTGCATCCATGGAAAGAAGGCTGGCAGCAATATCAGGACCCAAGAAAGCACCCATACCAAGAGCACATGCTCCTAGCATGGCGAGATTAATCTGGTCTCTTGCAGGAAGCTTCAGGGGAGCAGAATCCATCATGCCGGACAATTTTCCAAATGCCACAAGCGACCCAGAGAATGTGACGCCCCCAATAAATGTTGCAAGATAAATCGAAGAAAGAGTTCCAGCCGGAAGAGCCCCGGAGTTTCCAAGATATTCTCCAGCGGCTCCGGCCATTGCCGCGATACCGACCAAAGAATGGAAGGCAGCAACAGTCTGTGGTAATTCAGTGGGACCAACTTTGGACGCAACAGCAGTTCCAACGGCAGCTCCTGTACCTGCAAGGAGGCCGGCTTGTTGGAATACTACAGGGCTTGCGCCTGCAATCGCCATATCGGAAGTCGTAGCGGCAAGGCCCAAAGTTACACCGGCCATTCCAAGGAAGTTACCAGTTCTTGCTGTCTCTTGGTTCGCGAGAGCTGTTTTTATATGTAGAATGAGAAGAAACAATTCACACCAAAAAACGAATAGTTATTGAGACTGCTTAGGCATTCTTTTTGGCCCAACAAACGAAAAAAGAAAATTCAGAGCATACGTACCAGCGATTGCGCTAATGCACAAGAGGGATGCAGCAATGGAAGCAGTTCCCGACATGAGGCCTATATCACCCACATCGGAGAAAGAAGCAGCTGCAAGACCAGCTACAATCACGCCAACGGGAATACCGTACAGTTCGAAAAATTCCTTCGGATCTTCGGGTCGACGGAAAAGGTCCAACATTTTTCCAGAAACGAGAAATCCACCCGCAATATTGACAAAGGACAAAACGGTTGCGATTGCACCCATCCAATGAGCGGGGGAATCGGGAATCAGGCTGGCGCCAGTGTGGTCTCCAGAAGCCAAGAGGAGCATGCCGCCAAGAGCAGTGCAACCCGAAATGGCATTCGTGACCGCCATCAATGGAGAATGCAGAGCAGGAGCAACACCCCATACAACCTGATACCCAGCAAGACCTGCTAAACCAAAAGTTGCCATGAGGTTGACAGATGAAGAAGAATCTGCCGTGAGACCAAAGCCTACCAAGAGGGCCGCTGCTGCGCTTGCAATCAGGGTGTTCTTAACAAAAGCGTCCTTGCTTCTTTGATCGACCAAAGCCTTTTCTTGTTCGGGTGTAAGTTCGACAACTTCTGCTACTTCTTGTTGAGGCGGAGGAGGAGGGGTAAAGGGAGTAATTTTATCAGGCCATCTTGCGTTGCCACCGTAACTAATTAGCATGTTCTGGACTGCGTCATCCTCAAGATCAATTTGAAAGACACCCTTTTCTTTTGTGGTCTGCGGGCCAATGCTCAAGATAAATTTCGCGATGTTGTTCGCAAATAAATTACTTGCAGTGCTAGCCAATCGAGAAGGAAGATCAGTGTATCCAATAATTTTCACACCATTGGACGTAGTGATGATCTCGTCGGGTTGTGTCTGCGCGACATTGCCTCCATTTGCCGCTGCCAAATCAACACATACGGAACCTGCCTTCATCAAACTCAACATATCTTGATCGACAAGAATTGGAGCCTTCTTTCCAGGAATCAAGGCCGTCGTAACGATAATGTCGACGTCCTCCGCTTGTTCCAGCATCATTTTTCTTTGCGCTGCTTTGTACTCGTCGGACATTTCCTTGGCGTAACCACCAGCTCCGCTCCCGTCTTCGTCGATATCAACCTCCAAGAAGGTTGCACCCATCGACTCGACTTGTTCCTTGCACACAGGACGGACATCAAACGCTCGAACAATTGCACCCATGTTCTTGGCAGTTTGGATAGCTGCCAATCCGGCAACACCCGCCCCCATCACCAATACCTTGGCGGGGGGGACCTTGCCTGCCGCGGTCATTTGACCAGCAAAAAAACGCGGAAAGGCATCGGCTGCTTCGATAATGGCTCGGTATCCTGCGATGTTTGCCTGGGAAGACAAGGTGTCAAAGGATTGGCCACGGCTCAGCATCCGTGGAACGCAATCGAGAGCAAAGATATTGGTTCCCTGTTGGGTTAGAGACGCGTACAACTCGGTGTTGATGGCGGGTTGAATCATGCTGAACAATGTTTTGCCTTGAAGCCGGGGTACCTCTTCATCGCTCGGGGGACGAATCTTAGTGATAATGTCGGCGTCTTGAAACACTTGTTCCGCATCCGACAAAACGATGGCACCGGCGTCGATGTATGTAGAATCGTTGAATGAGGCATTGTCGCCGGCTAAAAAAGTAGAACGAAACAAGAAAATAATTAGCAACTCAAAGAAAGCCCAAGTACAAATGCTATTCTCGCCAATCGCAGACATTATGAAACTCAACGACTTCGGTCAACAATGAATGATCATACCTCCAGATTCGACAATGACAGTAAAGCCGGCCTTGACTAGACCTCGAACCGAATCCGGTGTTTGAGATACTCGATTCTCGCCCTTGAAAGTTTCCTTGATGACCCCGATCGTCAATTCCGAATATGGAATGGGCGAAAAAAATTCGTTTACTGTTTCAGTGTTGAAGGCCTCACTCACGCTGTCTTTCTCGGAAGGTTTGTTGGCTTGCTCTTGCTCTTCGTCTTCGATGGTGGCGTACATCGAAGTTGTTGAGCTCGGTTGGATCTTGGTGTGAAAAGAGGAAAAACGGTTTCGACGACGATCGATCGATGTCGCTCTTGATGCGGAGAGTCCGACTGGAGCCCAAGCGGCACAGTCTCTTGACGCTAGCGCCGCCCAGAGCGTGAAGATTGTGATGCTGCTTTTCATCTTAGACTTGGTGCTTATACAGTAGAGTATAGATAGTATAAAATGGTATATTGGTGGATCTTGCTTGTCGCTTTAGTGTCAATAAGTTGGAGGTTCAAATTAAAAAAAAATAAATTGTGTCTTCAGGCTAAACAATCGTCTTTTTCCTTTTTTCTTCTTCTTGCGAAGATTCCAAAAAGGGTTCTGAATTTTAAAGGTTGATATTCAATAATTATCTTGTGATCCAATTGGTGAACAGTTTCTGGTTCTTACTAGATGACGTTACCTCGTCTGTCACGGAGTATCAATCATAAACGATTCCTATTCGTTGATTATTGTCAATCAGCGTCCTCAACACTTCTCGATCGGAAAATAGTGAAGTATTTTCTGATCGGTCTGGGTTTTTGTAGCAGGCGGTATCCAAAACGGAATGGAATCCAGAGTGATGGGGAAGAACCAAGAAAAGAACAACTCTGTCAAAATACAGCTGTCCATGCATGTCTTTCTTGTGAAAACAACCGAGACGGACAGACGAAATAGTGACCGTCCAAGGTCTAAAAACTAGGAAAATCTTCGATTTTCAAGATTCAAACGATGAATTTGGAATTTCTAATTTCTTCTTTCCTATCAAGCTAGCTACAGTACGTCGTACTGATATCACAGCTGTTCAACCGGAGATTTCCGTTCGACTTTGTCGTTAATTTAGAGTTAGGGATAATACTAAAATCAAGCAATCTGATTGGCTAATAGCAATAATAGAGGCGTTTGGTGCCATTGATAGTGACACCAACAGACAAAAGAAGAGGAGGATAACGGATAACTTTGCACTACTGGTACTAATTTAAATGACTCATTCCTATTTGCTAGTAGTACAAATTCCTCGTACGGCAAAATTGGATATCAAAGGAGTACTACGGTATACTGTACTACAGTTTTCAATATTTTGATCTGTCTAATTAGCCAATCAGATTGCTTGATTCCTAAAGAATTTTGGTATTAACCCTAACTCTAAATTAATGCCAAAGTCAAACAAAAAAGCCAAAATGAGCATTTTGAACAGCTGTGATGTAGCGCGGCTACAAGTAGTATCTAGGTACGAGGTTCTTGTAGATATCGAGTTGATTTCTAACTGTGACGTGATTATGACTCCTCATAATGGGTTATTCCCATTACTGTATTGGGGTGATTCCCACAAACATAGAAATATGTAAGGCCGGCAAACTCGTTTTATGTATCAAATTACATAAATTTTGGTTGTCTTGTGCCCATGACAACCAGGATCTGTGTATTTGACATAAATATTTTTTGGAATTCTTGACTACTAGTAATCATTTCCAGTCTGGGGAGCATGCATGCCCTACTAAACACAGACTTGTAAAACTATCACAATTATATGGGATTCCAAAATCCAAAAATGGGGGGATACATGTACTTTCAGCAAGCCTGCAGAGTCATTACTAGTACCACTGAAAGTGCTTCCCGAAAACATATACAGTGATATGTATGCGGGAATGACGCATTATGGAATTGATAAATTTGATAGAATGACAGACCAAAAATTTAGTGCATCTATCAAAATTTAACATGTTTTGAATGGGTCAAAGACACCTGTTAAAAATGTGCTAAATCTATTCCACTGCAAATGATGGTAGTATCATGGGATTCATTTTTTAAATTTTTTAGTACTATGCTCTTTTTTAAGAAGTCATATGTCACATTCTTGAAGTTAAGGTTCCAAATTCCCAAAAAGACTCCTCTGATCAACAAGCTGAAACATTAAATGTGCTAAATCTGGCCATTTAGCAATTCTATTAACAGGAATCACACAATTTTGCGTGTCTTTTCATTACAAAGTAATAAGCAGCTTCCTTGCATACTTTTGTAAGTGCTACTAGTAACAAAGCACCAATCAGAATTTCCTTTTCTGGCTTCTTGATTTCTCTGCACACCAAAATTTCCCAAGAAAACTCATTAAATCAACCTCATTCATCCAACAACCTGTTATGCCATTGGGAGAGACTCTTAACCTCCTTTATAACCCACACAAAGTGCATGTACTACATTGCAATCATTATTATGAGAGGAATCATATCTGGAAGTTGCAAATAAATTGATGGAGTGCTGGTTTAGAACCAACAGTACTGCAACTACTAGTACCATTAGCTCAGCAATGAGCGTTATCCTCTGTACCAGCATCCTCCATATCAGCAGCTCCTCATCCTCCTCCATATCAGCCAACATTTCTTGTAGTAACAGCAGACACTGTGGTAGCACCAGCTTGCTTGCATGCTGTCATGTCCTTTGCAAAATACTGTACTGAAAAATTGACTGAAATAGCCTCATCACAGGTTGGCTACTACTAGGGTGGTGTTAAATATAACAGTGTTATTCATGTGGTACAGCTGTCTGCAAATCATACCATTAAAAGCCTGTCAGGCAATACATAGAACCAAAGTATGCTGTGGACACCATAAGAAGGTATGACAGACATACAAGTATATTTTTGCGTAACTCTTCTAGTTGGTGTAGAGAGCCAGCAAATAGTTTTTTTAGAACATTGTTGTTTTGAATTATCTGATTTAGAAACTTTACATAATTTATGATTTTCCAGTAGATGTAGTACTAGTAGTACATGATAGTACTTGTGCTATTGGCATAACGCCAGGGATCAATTTCCAAAAGAAAACATCACACAATAGTAACTATATGTGCAACACGTCTTCAAGAAGCACCAGGGGGGGAATTGGTGGAGGATTTGTTGTATCCAGCAGTACTAGTAGTAAGACTTAGGTAGTGTAGTAGTAGAAATACCAGTAGTAGTTGGAGTGGGGAAAAATTGTACTAGCAGGCAGTCCTCAAGCAAAAAAATGATGCAATCTCTTGTGGATATGCTGCTGATTCTCCACTTTCCCTTCTATTTGCAATCACAGCAGCCACCACCACCAGACAACAGTCACGCTCCCATCAACTGCTACATGATGGTGCTCCTCTTGTGGTGGTGCTACTGTGGTGGTGGTGCCATCCACCACAGGGTCTTCAGGAAGAGAGGTACCTAATACTACCAGTAGTCTAATTCTCTACCTCCTCACCAATCAACACTGCTACTGCTAGTAGTAGTACTAGTAAGTCAACAAAGAAAAGAATGACGTCACAAAAAGTGTTCACGACCAGTAGCGACCGCTCGCGACCTTTTTTAAAAAAATACACACCCCTTTTTTTCTTGCATCCACCAAACCTCCCGTATGCCATGGTTTTGGTCGCATTTAAACCTAAACATAGTTGCAAGGGTTGTGTTGGGTTGTTATGGAAAACCAGTGCTACTTCCATTTTAATGTACAAGTAGTAACCCTGAGTCCCACCACTGTCAGTTTCATCGTTGTCAAACACAAAATTGTTCACAAAACTGTACTTTTCATCACAATTACATTTCAACTGATGGTGGGTGGAAACCATTCACACATTCACTATTTGAAATCTAACCACAGCAAAACGTTCTGTGGATGTACCTCCATTTGCAACACACAAATAATCACAGCTGTGTTACAAGCAAGCATTATTTCACAATTTACAAAAACACATTACCAAATTTTATCTGTTCTTCACTGCCTTTCTCATCATATTTATTTGCAACTGTACTGCAATGATTCCCAACATGCCTGACATGGAAACATCTGAACTTAATGGTTCTCCATCTTTGCAACAGAAGTTGAAGAATCCACCCACCGAACGGGGAAGTAAGATCTTGATCCAAGAGCTTTGCCGCTCCACACACAAAGATCTTATTTCCTTGTTGCGTTTTCCTCACAAGACGGACAACGAGCTTAGGTAACACAAGATCCAAGTAGACAAGCTTTTCCAAGGTCTCCAACAAAAATTGATCATGGCCCATCTCCAGGACACAGTCAACGAGGCATATGTTTCAACCCACATGACCGTTCTGTCCATGGAAGCTAATCTATGTACCCTACAATTGGCACGTGATGAATTGTCCATTGTCGCAGAAGATGGGAAATCATGGGCAGATTCTCAGGAGTGGCAAGATTTTTTTGCTGACCTAGTGACATACATGGATCAACTTAATCTCTTCATACATCACGATAATGTCATTTCAAGAATGTGTGTCAGTGCAATATCCAATTGTTTTAATCTGCTTCTTGACAATGACGGTTTAAAATATACAGTTGTTGAGTCTCTCCTGAATACAATTCAGGAGTCCACCAGTAACGTGAAAAAACGCGTCAGCAGAAACAACATCCTTGTGGATCACCTGCGCCACTTCTGTTCAAGAGTGAAATTATATCTTCAATGCCCTCCAACAACCAAATGCAAACCTGTTAAACAGCTATTGAATCTTCTCAAGGAATTGAAGGTACTTACAGTCAATTGCGACAAAGACCCTGTTCTTTACAACTCCACTGGCAAAGTTGTAGTCACTTTGGAGGACGACAAGGTTAAATCAAAATTCCTCAAGAGGCTCAGGGCCCGCATGCGTTCCTCACAGGGTTGTAAAAACGGCTTCAACAATCTTCATTGGTTGGGGCAAAAACTTCAAAATGAAATCAATAATTCCGTTTCCTCAGCCTGCTCAGCCATTGACATGATTGGTTTTTATCAAGATGCAGAAGACAAGAAACCACAGAAGAAGCAGAAGACTTTGCAGTCCCATGGCACTCCAACAGATAAACTACCACAAAAAAAATCACCCCTGTATTGAAAAGTGACTTTGAAGGCAAAGAAAGTAGAATGAGAATTAGACTCCGGAGTCAAATGAAGGTGACATACAACCATGTTGACCTCTTGTTCTCTAAAGGCAGAGAAAGATGAACAGATACCGGTTAGTTTGTTAAAGAGTGGTAAGTTGTCTTCTACCAATAGCACGTTGACCGCGACGACAGTTCATGTGACACACAAAATAAAACTTCCCAAAAATGTCAAACAACAAATTTTCAACAACCTGAAACACTATGTCAGGCAAAACATATTCAAAAACATGAAATTCTCCATTGAAGAAGACAATTGCAATCACTGTGTATGTCTGCAGGCAGTACAGGAAAAATCAGTAAGCAGAACCAAAGAG